CGAGGTGAGTATCCACGACCCCACTTTACTCGTTTAAAGTATTTCGGGGTGAAAAGCATGCTTTATAAGAGTTATGAATTATAAAACTCACATTGTTATGTGAATTGAATGTTATGAGCAATTGAATTTTTTACGCCATGGATAATGTATTGAGTTGAAAGTCCCTAATTGTACATTACTATTAACTCATTTTGAGCCTATGATCTTTGTGGATAGCGCTATTTGGTGGAAGTAACCCATCCTTGACTGACGAGTAATGGATGAACTTAGTCATATATTTGTCCTACACATGTGACATGTAACTGTCACCACTGAGGTAGTTCATAAGTAATGCTCTACCCATGTGGCTAGCTACCACCGCTGAGGTAGTTCATAAGTAATGCTCTACCCATGTGGCTAGCTACCACCGCTAAGGTAGTTCGTGGGGCGTAAATTGTGTTAGGTTTAGTAGTGGCTCAATAGCATAATTCTATAAATGGCTTATTTAAATTGATTCGCTGCTCATGGAAGTTATAAGTTATTTGACGTGAACAACGTTTCACTAAGTAAGTTCTTGCAAAATTTTATAAACTGTTTTGTGCATATAAAACCCGTGAACTCACAAACTCTTTGTAGTTGACACTTGTTTTCAAACGTGCTTTTCAGGGAATAAGAAGAATGTGGCAGAATAAATTAGATTATATTTACGTTTTTAATGTGTTCAATGTTTTGGAAATGAATCTTGTAATCGGGCAACTCTTTTGTTTAAGAACTCCTTTGGGAGACTTGTAAATTGTAAATTAAATGTTTGTAAATTTAATCGTGTGGTTGATGCATTTATATCCTAAGTGTAATGTACTATTACCTGTGACGCCCCGTGTTTCCGCTTTAGCGGGGTGCTACAACCGTTCTTGACACAAGTACATTATGTGTCCACATAAGAATCCAATGCAATAAACTATAGAAAACAGAAGTTGCTTAAGGACAGATGGTGGGGGTGTGACATATAACGAGAGATGTAGGAAAGTATGCAACGGCTACATTTGTGACGATGATGAGCAAATCTTTAATGTTGTAGATGGCGGAGGATTCCAAGATCTTCGTTCATGAATTGCAACTTAAATTTGTTGGTTGTAGCATTAAAAGGGATGTATACCACAAAGAATTGAGGATGGATGATTTAAACCGAGTTATACAAGGTTAGGCAAAGAGTATACGGTTAAGTAATGTTGCAATGATCAGTGATGGATACAAAAACTTAGGTGACTCGGGGGATGTAATATAAAAAAAATCCAAAACCAAATAACTCATCCAGACCAAAACGGTTTCAGGTTATTCGGTTTGCAAGTCAAATTGTTCGGTTAACCAAATAAGGTACATTTCGATTTCAATTATTTTTACCATGTTGGTTAGCCGGATAACAAAATATACTATAATTTAATTTCCTTCTAGACGAAGGTTTTTTAATTAATTTCAATGGATTTTTTTTTTTTTATAATCAAAATTCGTTATATTTTTTTCTGATATCTGAAAACAAACATCCGTCAAAGTTAACTGCACTTAAAAAATTAATTTGCAATGTTGATGAAACTAAATGCACGTGTTTAATTTCTATGTATCTGAGCTGACTATAAAGTTCAACACCCTTTACAGAAGAAATTCCAAAAATCACAAATAAATTTTCACCACATGCCCTTTTCCGCCACTTCTCGGAACCGGAAGCACTTGGTGCTAGTTCATGGGATAGGTCACGGAGCATGGTGTTGGTACAAGGTTGTCAGCCACCTCAGATCTGCCGGCCACCGTGTCACGGCGGTTGACCTTAGTGGTTGTGGGGTGCACCCAAGTCAACTTGAGGACATACCCACCTTCTCCGATTACATACAACCACTGATCCGGTTTCTGGAGTCATTACCTCCCGACCAAAAAGTGGTGTTGGTGGGTCACAGCTATGGCGGACTTGCCATTTCTGTCGCCATGGAGAAGCTTTCACACATGGTCTCTGTTGCCGTTTTCATCGCATCTTACATGCCCAATTGCAGGGACCTACCAGCACTCCAGATGAAAGAGGTACAGGGGATCCCTTTGCTTACGGATACGGATTAATCTCTCTTTACAGAATGAAAAAAGATTTCTTTTTTATTTTTGTTTGAATAAGTAACATTCTATATCATTAAGTCACTGCCAATCGGTCCAAATGAGTCTAGTTAAACTGCTAACAAACATGTCTCTACTGTACATATACATATATATTGTCCTACTTTTATATAAATAAATCTCCGAATTCTTATGCATGATTAATTAAAGCAACTTAAAGATTTATCATTGCAGATCTTAATTTTTATAGTTTTTCATATGTATAACTTGAATTTGTTATTTTGAAGTACTTCAAGAGTTTGAAGCCGGAGACGTATTTGGATTGCCGGTTCACATTCAACAATGGATCACCGATATCATCAGAACTTGGGGACCGTTATATGGCCGTAATGTACCGGAAGTGCCAACCGGAGGTGCCTTCTCTTAATTCATTCTTCACAAATTGGAGATATGCATATAACCAGAGTTTTTAAACACTCTCACCATTTTATCATTTAAAAAAATGTATTAGAACTTTTCATATATCGTCATAAATCTGTTGTTTAAAATATGTGACAAAAGCAGAAGTTGAAACCGGGCCGGGCACTAGTGTTAACCGTATATGTCGTTGTCGTTATAAACTTATGTGATTAATTTAGTTTCAAGAAATATAATATACGGGTACCCAACCAAACCATACAGTGACATCTTCAGTAACTTAACTGTTTTCTTTCGGTTACAATAAAACCAAGAAGTGGTGTATTTGCCCTTATCTTAAGCAAATAATTAAGAGAAAAATATATAAAAAACAAAAACATAGGAAGCACTTTTAATTTTATAATTTTCAGTAGAGATGGAAAAGATGGTTGTTTGGTGCAGGATCTGGCATTGGCAAGGATGTTGGTGCGACCGGGTGGGTTTTTCTTGGAGGATATGAACAAGGAATCTCTTCTAACCCAAAACAGATACGGATCCGTCCCCAGGGTTTATGTGGTATGCGAAGAAGACGAGGTTATGAACGAAGAATTTCAGAGATTCATCGTGAATGACAGTCCACCCGATGAAGTCAAATCCGTCCCCGGAGCTGGTCATATGATCATGTTGTCGAAATCCCAAGATTTATCGCTTTATTTGCAGGAAATCGTGGAAAGATACCCTTGATGAGTATAGTACTATGTGTTCGGGATTGAAAGTGTGTGATCATAAATAAACAACACCCGTTAATCAAAATGATGTAATAACACTCTTGTGATTCATTACTACACCTGGAAGTTTTGATGAAATACATAGAAAAAGAGAATAAAGAGTTTTGTATGTTACTTAATTTTGAAATGGAGCAGAAAAATGTAGATTATAACGGAAAACAAGATACGTTGTAAGGTGCAGTAGGCTACAAAAATCAAAGGAAACCAAATGTATACAAGCTTCACGTCCAAAAGGAGTCGTTTGAAGAAGAGAAACGACTGAACATCACCCGTTGAAGGAAAGTGAGGATGAATTATTGGTTCACAATTCCCATGAAATGGAACCGTTGATAAGATGACTCGAACATGCGTAGTTGAATTTGGGCGAATGAAATCATGACGAGAAATGATGTTGTTATGCTTATCCCACTTTAGATAACATTCATTCTCTTACGATGATTGACTTAATGTTTTAGTATTAATAATTAATATTAAAACCTTTAAATTAAAAAAAACAAAAAAAACCCATTAGAATTTAATATAATTTTTAATTTGGAGATTTTAATTCTCTTTAATTTTCATTTTGAAGCAACTGTAAATAATTTTAAAGTACCAGGAGGTCTTAGGTTTAAATCCATTGAGGAATAAAAATCCTTACGAAAATTTAAATGTGATGACTCCGGACTATCTACAAAGCAGGTGGTCGTCTTGAGATTAGTTAGCTCGCATAGAGGTTGGATATATCTTCAATAAATTATTTAAAAACTAAGAAAATTGAGATTTTTATTGTTTTTAACCTAGTTTTTATTCAATAAATACTTCAGTTTAATATAGAGAAAATATGAAAGAAAAGATGAATGTTTTTGACACGTGTCCTGATATTTTTCATTGAATGTGATCAAGTCATAATTGAAGTACCTACCAACTACGAACGACATTATTACCAAGGAGAAATTAAAATATGTAGTCATCGTCTACAAAATATTATTATAACTCAAGGGACCTACACCTATTTTTGTCATCTACTATTATTATTATTATTATTATTATTATTATTATTATTATTATTATGGAAAAACCTAAAAAACTCCAATTGATTTTAGTGTTTGCAATGATTAAGTTCTTGAATAATTTCTAGAATAAACAAGTCTTTGCATATTCTAAAACATGTTAATTAATTCATTGGATAATTTTTTGGAACAAATAAGTTTTTGGACAATTTAAAACATGTTAAATAACTCATTGGACAATTTTTGGAACAAATAAGTCATTGGACAATCTAAAACATGTTAAATAACTTCTTGGACTTTTCTAAAACCTTTTGGATACATTCTTATGACTTGTACAACTAGTTAAAGTGGTAAAATAGTGACAAAAGTCCGAAAAAAACCTTTTTGTTATATTTGTTTAATTTTATAAATCTAAATCATTTTTGGTTGAAATAACGTTTAGGGACTTAATCGTTTAAAATATGAATGTTCATTGGAGTTTTTTTGGACTTTTTTTCCACTATTTTACCACATTAATTAGTTGTACAAGTCATAAAAATGTATCCAACAGGTTTTAGAAAAGTCCAAGGAGTTGTTTAACATGTTTTGGATTGTTCAATGACTTATTTGTTCCAAAAAATTATCCAATTATTTAACATGTTTTAAATTGTCCAAAGAGTTATTTAACATGTTTTGGAATGTTTAAGGACATATTTGTTCCAAAAAATTGTCCAAGGAGTTATTTAACATGTTTTGAAATGTTTAAGGACATATTTGTTCCAAAAAATTGTCCAATGAGTTATTTAACATGTTTTGAAATGTTCAAGGAATTATTTGTTCCAAAAAATTGTCCAAGAACTTAATCATTCCAAACACTAAAGTCAATTGGGTTTTTTTAGACTTTTCCCTTATTATTATTAGAAGAGTATTCGTGTGTAATGTAACCAGATAAATCTTGATTTTAGTTTTTGGATTTTATTTTTTGTCTCTATTGATATAATACGATTTTATGTGATAATGTTTTTATTTTTGAATAAATGTAAATTTGAAGATTGAATAAAATTTTTAAAAAAATCGATATTAGTATCAAATTAACTATTTTTAATAGTTATTGTTTTTTGGTGTAACTTCTTTAATTTATTTTTTTATTATAATTTARTTTAAATTTATTAACAAAGTAATTTATTTTTGATTTAATAGTATAATTTTTTATAAAGATAATAACTAATGATTTTG